GGATTTTAAATTCTATTTTGAATTTTTACAGGGAGCCAGTGCAGAGAAGCTAATACAGGAGAGATATGATCTATTTTCCTAGTTCCTGTCAGTACTCGTGCTGCAGCGTTCTGAATTAATTTGAGTGTCTTCACGGACTTATTGGGGCAGCCAGATAATAAAGAGTTGCAGTAATCCAGCCTAGAAGTAACAAATGCATGGACTAGTTCTTCTGCAATGGAAAAAGGCAGTCCTAGAGGTTTGCTTTATGTGGGAATTAAAGGGCATATCCTGATTGAAGACAACTCCAAGATTCCTGACAGTGGTGCTGGAGGCCAATGTAATACCATCTAGAGTAACTATATCTTTAGAAAGTGAGTCTTGGAGGTGTTTGGGGCCAAGTACAAGAACTTTTCTGAGTTTAGCATCAGTGAATGAATGGGTCAGGATCAGTGTTGGTCATCTTACTTTAAAAAAGTAATTAGTTATAGTTACAAATTACTTATCCCAAAAAGTAACTGAGATAGTAACTCAGTTACCACATTGTCAAAGTAACTAGTTACTCAGCAAAGCAACTGTAATGTTATTTTTTATGGTCTATAATTACATTCTATAACATCTTCTATAACGTTAAAGATGTTTATAATCACTGGATCCGCCCACCCAGCCAATCATCATCACCACACTGCCCTCTGCTGGCAGCTGATGTGTGGCTGTCAGAAAGCCTGACACCGCTGCGCTTCATTCACCACATTGTAGGAACGCAAGTAACACGCCACTTTACATTCTCAGTAACGGTAACGGCGTTACAACGATGGGAAAAGTACTTAATTAGATTACTCCGTTACTGAAAAAATAACGCCGTTAGTAACGCCGTTATACTTAAACGCCGTTACTCCCAACACTGGTCAGGACACTGGTTGACTGATCATATTGGGATCTGAGCCTGCTTATTTTCTGTGACCTTGTTCAGACTTGAGTGGGTATGTTTGATTAAACTTTGTGTTTTGTCTCATAGTGGCGTTTCACACTGGCACTTTTAATCAGCGCCGCAGTCTCTGAACATGAGACACACTGGTTATGTGCTCCCAGTGGGAAGAATGAATGTGAATGAATCTGTCCATTAAAAGCTTGATTTTCTATCCACTTTTCTCTTCTTAGAGAGCGCCATAAATCTTCTGTTGTCTCGCGCTCACTCATCTCTCCGTTTCCTCTCCATGTATCTGTGACTTCTCTTTCTGTCTGTCTCTCCTCTCTCATCGCTCTCATCTCTGTATTCAGTCGCACTGTTTAAACAGATTTGATTGGCTGAGCAGCATCACGTGGGATGGCTTAACTAGCATGCGATTGGTCTGTGAGCTTCCTGATCTGCTAAACAAATACCGTAAAGACTAGAAAAGCTGTGCTGGTTAAAATAGAAGCTCCCCATCAAAATTTAGAATCCTCAATAATGAATTGATTATAGGTCTGGGTCCGCATAGGACGGTGTCTGGGTCTGCATAGGACGGTGTCTGGGTCCAGACTCGCCTGTTAGCGACCTCTGCCCTAGAAAGTTCATGAAGATCTTCCAGGCACTCTACTTCAGACCAAAGCAATGGATCAGGCTAGATTCGCGTTGGCCCCACCCACTGAGTTTGATGGCTGCCTTTGACAGTTTTAAGTAATTCATGAAGCACTGCAACGCAGGACCATGAAATGTAAATGTAAATAGTGAAATAATGATATATGTATTTTACATTAAATGAATCTGTATTTGAATTAATAAATGACACATTTAATATCACATTTATGTATTTCATTCCAATTTTAATTAATTAATGACACATTTAAGTAATTATTTAATGGTGTATTTATTTATTTAATTGTCGCACTTTCAGTCCTCCATAGACAAAAGGGAGACAAGGACTATTTATACCATGTAAGAGTGGAAACAGGTGAAAGCAATCAGGGGTGGGGCAGACAATTACAAAGGCGGGAGAACACACAAAGGGAGGAAGTCAGGGTTGAACAGTGAGGAAAAAGGTGAGTACAAAATAAAACAGGAAGGACTAACAAGAAAACACTTGACTAAACTTAACAAACTTGAGGAGACACAACACTCATCCTGCTGACACACCTGCCTCTCATCTCCTTCAAACCTGTTCTGCATCACTGTCTGCATTTGGGTCCCCAATCCAGTTCACTCACACACATGTAAATGTAGTACTATGGGAGCCACTGTGGGAGGCTCTGCACTAGAGGAAAAGTGAACAAACCAGTCAGTCAGTCCTTCTTGTCTGACTGCTGTTCAGAGGCCAGAAGCCGTGACTCAGCAGCCAGTTCAGCAGCTAATTGACCCACATTACATCTGTAGGGACGCAGTGAGATCATTCTTCCAGTGCTTGTTCTAATGGTGCATTTCAGTATGAAAATGCAGGTCCAATTGATACATTTGATACAATCAAAGCTAATGTGTAAAGGGTTACGGATCATAATTAACTGCATAAAATGAGCAAAGAAAGACTCAAAGACTTGCTAGTAATTCATTTACAGTGCTGTCCCAGTAAGCCTGACATTTTTCAAATGTTTCTAAAGAATTCAAACCTGAATGCAGGAAACGTACTTGTGTCTTTGTCCACAAGGCCCTCTGGTAGATACAAACACACAAGGAAGTGGAGCCTTTGTGTGTTGTGTGGAATGTTAATGTGGATAGATAATAATGAAGGACTGCCCTCATACAAGGGAGTTGTAAAAAATATATTTACAGCCGTATTATCCTGGCTGTTTGTGTCTGACTGAACTCCAATTATAAATATTACTTTGTGTCTGTGTCTACACTCTATGTAGACAGTTGCAAACCAGCAAATCGAATTTAGTCTGCAGACTTGAGCTACCAAAACTTAATCTGTCTCATGTACTACAGTCAGGACATAATGAAGATTACTTCAAATATGGCAAAAGGAATTACCTACTGTAGCTTTAATAGTGCCATCCTCTGATTTGACACTGTGTAATTAACATTTCAACTTTTAGGGGCCACTAGCAGGGTTTTAGATTGTTAGACTGTTGCCTGGTTAGGTTCTAAAGAATCTTATCGAGCTGTGTTAAATCTATCTCTTATAATTAATTTTATGGCAAACAAAGACTAAATTGCTAGAGGGACCTTTGACCACTGAAAAGCCTTTACACCTCACATTATTTACAAGCAAAACTTTCCATCCTAAGCAAGAACAGAACACTGTATATGTCTAGTGGTAATTTATTTAAATTCTATTTGAACCTTTATTTAGACAGGTAATGTCACTGAGACACGGAATCTCATTTTCAAGAGAGACCTTGGTCAAAGCAGAGCCCTGACTGATGGCAGCATTATGGTAAACATATGTAATGGTAAAGCCATGCAGTTGTGAAGGCTTGTGTTACATGCTGAGTGACACACTTTGTCGGAACCTGTTAACTTATCTCCACCCTCAGCGCTCTGTCCTCTTAACACCATTTGCACAATGTATAAATGTGGCTTTACTCTTTCTCCTACAGAGAGGTGCAGCAGTGCACACTGTTGATAAGACTGGGTGTTGACCTGAGGCATGTGATGAATTGCAACAGTAAAAAAGTGAAACCACAACCGAATCTTGAGCATAATAACTTGTCGTTATCAGACTTTATTGTATTGTCGTTGTGTCACCCTGCTCTTTGATTTAATTTTGTATACAGACAAGGAAGCCAACGGCAACTTTTATTGCAGTATGTCATTGGTGTGTGGTTATGCAGTGCAGACTTTGAGTGTGAGTCTGCATACCCAGTAATAAGTAATGGAAACCTGGATGATAGGAAAAGGCAACTGCATCTTTAATTCTACAGCATGCTTAAGTTGTTGTACATCTGTTTGTGTGAATGTGCTTTCAGTTCTTTTTTGTATTTGTATTTTAAACTAAACCAACCAACTTTTTTTCATGAAGAGTTGAAGCTTATTCTGTAGAAGCCTGTCAGTAACATGAACAGGCTGTTCCGTCAGTGCTTTGGGTTCTCCAGTAGAGCCTGAGCACACAGACAGCAGTGTGTTCCCCAGTGGGAGTCTCTGTTAACCACCACAACACTCTCACTGTTATCAGTCTTTTAAACAGAGAGGGTGAAAGCGCCTCTGCAAACCCTCCCACTCATCTCCACAGCAACTGTCACATGATTTCACTTAAGGAATCAGTCACACCGGAAGTAAGTTTGCCCTTCAAAATAAAATTTTCCCGTTACACAAGCCCTGCCAGAGGGTCAGTATTTTAGAGCAAAGCTCAGTGAGACTAGCTTGTGATTTTGGGACATAAATAATATTCACTCAATAAATGCTTTTTATAGTGTATATTCAACAATGTATATTTCAAATAGTATAGTATGTTGTATATTTGCATAGTCATGTTGTTAGCCTAAATGAGTCCCAGAAAACTTAATCCTATCATAGAGTCTTAAATGTGGCCACAACAGATCATTAAATGAAAGGTGTTGATTTCCATTTTTAACATGTTATTTTTCAAATTAATCTTAATGAATGTCCTAAATTTGACACCAAACTGGGGTGGACAGGCATTCTTTAGGGCTCCAGTGTTCCCTTTAAACCTATATATAGCCTATTTATCACTTTTGTCCATACTTAATTTTATAATATTATTTTTGAAGGACTAGTGTTATTTTGGCATTACATCATGTCCTCATGGTATATTTAGGGTTCCTTTGTCCTAAAAAAAACAGTCATGGACACACCTGGAAATGAATTAAAATGAACAAAAATCCTGGAAAATTAATAAATGAAATTACATAAACCTGCTTATTTTATTTGAAACTGTACTGTTGGTAGGATACGCTGTGTGAAAACTGGAGTTAAATGTGTCAATGCTAGACCTACTGGTAAATTATATAGTACTGTCCTGTAGTCCTGTTACTCCTGCGATTTCTTAAGAGTGGGAAAGCTGAAATTGCCCGCTTTTATTTTGAAGACAGCATTTCTCATGTTCCGGTCATATGTTAGGTCACTTAATGTTTGTGCACTAGTTGTTGGCTTACATCACGCAGACAGTCCTTGTGTGTCACCTGGAACATGTAAGAGTGTGTGTAGTGTCTCCAGCCGTCAGCACCGCGTCATCTCTCTGTCTCACAGCCGCAGGCATGGCTCTGTCTCTGGGGTGGCTCTCAGCCCTGGCCGCGGGTCTTTTCTCCGCTCATGTCTTACAGAAACTGTGCTTCCCGTACTTTTGGAGGGACCTCCTGTTTCTGCTGAAGGTGATCAGGTACGGCGTGAAGTTGGAGGTGTTCAAGCTGACATCCAGCGTGTGTACGGTCCTGGACCGGTTCATCCAGCAGGCGCAGCTCATCCCCGACAAGCCGTTCGTCATCTTCAACGGAAGCATCCACACCTACCGGGACGTGGACAGGCGCAGCAACAGACTCGCCAATGTTTTCCTGGAGAGAGCGAACTTGAGGAAAGGAGACTGCGTTGCCTTGCTCATGAGCAACGAGCCCGACTTCCTGTGCGTGTGGTTCGGGTTGGCAAAGGTCGGCTGCTCGGTTGCTTTCCTCAACACCAACATCAAACCGAAGTCTCTGCTGCACTGCTTCAACTGCTGCGGAGCCAAAACTCTCATCGTTGGTTCAGGTAAAGCTCTCACCTTCATATGAAAGCCCATGTCCGCCGGTGTGATGGGAAAAAAATATTCTGTAAATCAGTATAATGAGAAACTTAGCAGCTCATCTCATCTCAAAGTAAAGACTTAGTATCAAAAAGTCATTATTTTCAGACAAGATAAGTCAAACATATTGAGAAACGTTCTCATTATTTTGAGATACTAAGTCAATATTTTTGAGATGCTAAGTAATAATAATAATTTTTGTAAATACATTTGTAAATAAAAAAATACAAATAATTGTGTTAAGTCAATATTTTGTGAAAGTTTCTCATTATAATGACCTACAGAATCTATTTGGGCTTTCATACCTTCACCTGTTATCACTGTCAGCTTCACAACTGTTATCACCATTACACACCACTGATCTATTCAATATGATATCTGATGACAAATATAATAATATATAGGTTAATATTTTGTTTCAAAATGAACTTTATTTAATCTCACTCAGATTCAGGGTAACACATATTATATAAAATAAAAACAAATGTTTAGGCTCAACAAAATAATGGCAACTTCTAATGAAATTATGTTTAACAAATGTACTACATTTAGTTAGGGAAATTAGCATGTCCTCTACAAGGTGTTTTAAATTACCTCTTAGTTAATACTTGGTTGCAAAAAGTTTGTAAGTTGATCAGCCTACTCATAAATATTAACTTGTTCCAACTATTTCAATTCAATTCAATTTTATTTGTATAGCGCCAATTCATAACAGAAGTTATCTCAGGACACTTTTCAAATAGAGCAGGTCTAGACTGAACTCTTTATAACATTATTTACAGAGAGCACTTGGCGACGGCGGCAATGAAAAACTTCCTTTTAAGAGGCAGAAACCTCGGTCAGACTAGTGTTGTTATTTATGTCAACACAATTTCATCAAAATATATTTTGTGATGTAAAAGGTTAACCTAAACCAGTAAATAAAAAAGTTTTAAATTGCAACCATGCATTTATTTAAGTGGTGACAATAGGTCCATTACATTACGTTTGAGATTGCAGGGGCGGCTCTAGAGAAATATTCATGGGGTGTCTGGAGGGTGGTGTGGAAGATGATTAGGGCCACATGTGAAAAATGTATTTGAGTTCTCAAATAAAATGTTCAAATGTGGCCCTAATCCTCTTCCATAGCCCAGAAACTTTAAGGAGTGGCAGAAATATGTTCTGATTTAATCACAAACAATCACATATCAATATTTGCTTTGAAAATCCCCCAAATGAAGATATTTGAACTCAAAACATTACTGTGGCAGAGTAAAGTGTTGAATAGAAATATCTAAAGGTGGCAATAGAAATGAATACATTGGTTTATTTCCAAATCTTTTTCTTTATTTTCCAAATAAATATTTTTTTTCATTGAACTTAAGGCTATCACTGAGTCTAAAATGTGACCATAACAATACCTAACTATTAACCCTCACCCCTGGCAGCAACCCATTCCACACTGCAGTTGGCCGTAGCAGATAAAAATAGAGAACAAAGGAATTCAGGGAGAGAAAAATATATGAAGTAGAAAAAATGCAAAAAATATGAATGCAGAAAATATGATGAATTCCTGTTGCTCACCACGAACAAATGAGTTAGTTCACACTTAATAGATCATCTGTTAAGGCATGTTAACTTACAGTTACTCCATACTTTAATTGATATGCAACCCATTAGATAACATAAAAGTTTATTTCAGGACCATGCCTTTTTGACACATTTACAACTTAGTGGCATACACAAGATGTTTTTTTATTTTCTTTGTGTTGTTGTGTTTTGGAGCTTAAAGCAGTCTGATCATTGTCCTCTAATATTAGTGGTTCCAAACCTGGGGGCCGGGACCGCCACTGGGGGTCGTCAAAGTTTCAGGAGGATCGCAAGGCCTTCTAGATTTTAAGGTGTGTAAGAAAATGTTAAAATTATACAGAGTAGGGCGACATCTCAGCATTTGGTTCACTTCTGTAATAAATGTAAAGTAAAGTCAATTGTCTAATAGAACAATGGCCAAGTGTCAGGGACAAAAAAACACGGAATATGTCAAAAAAGTTTACGTATGATTATGTATGATTGTTAAAAAATTATTTAAAAAAATACATAATACAGACAGAGAATTAGGTTCCCTAAACAGCAAATCATCTGCTCAAAATTCACCAAAATCAGAGAGGCTGAAAAAATGTCAGGTCTTGAAATAAACTTATCTACAGTAGGTTGCATATCAATTAAGGTATGAATTAACATTCCTTAACTGATGATCTATTAACTAATCACAAAAAGTCATAGTGACCTTATTATTTGTTAATCTCCTGTTAACAGGAATTTATCATACATCCTGCATTGATTCATGAGTCATGCATTAGTTAATTAATACATGGTAAAGGTCCTAGATGTGGGCATCTAGGACCTTTACCATGTCCTTAAAGGACGAGCTGCCTGGACGGAAACCTTTCTCACAAACAGCCGTCCCACATTTATATAATAAAGTTAAAGACAAGGTTCAAGTGCTGCTGTCAGAAGCAGACAGTTATTCCTTAACAACTGACATGTGGTTGTCAGTTAAAATGACACGATATATGTCCCTGACTGTCCACACCATTACACCTGAGTGGAAACTTGAATCCAAATGCCTCCAAACAACGTATTTTCAGCCATAACCACTGACAACGCTGCCAACACTTCTGTCGCAATCAGGTCCCTGCATTGGCCGTGGCTTAACTGCTGCGGTCACAATCTAAACTTGGCTGTCACAAATGCATTGCATGACCAGAGGCAAAAAACCGAGCGCGCCCTCGGACTAAGCCGTAATATTGTTGGGGCCTTTTCACACAGCTGGCAACGAAAGCGTGAACTCCACAAGAAGCAAGTGGAGTTGGGACTCCCAGAACATAGTCTCATAACGGTAAGCATGAATTTGTATCTGAATATCTGAATCTGTTAAGGTTAGATGACGTAACTAAGAATAGAATGGAATAATATACATTAATGGGCTTATTTATTTATTCATTCATTTATTTGTTTATTTATGCCTATTCATTCATTCATTCATTAATTCATTCATCCATCCATCAGCAGGACTGCACAACTCGCTGGGGCTCCAAACTGGCAATGGTGGAGCGCATCCTCGAGCAGGCCCAAGCGATCAGACACGTCCTGTCTGATGACAGAAGGAGCAGCCTGTCCCTGACCTGGCAGGACATGGACGTCTTGAAAGCTGTTCACGACGCACTGAAACCAGTCGGTGACTTCACTGATATTTTGTCAGGAGAAAATTATGTGACCAGTTCCTCTGTCCTCCCCATACTACAGCTCTGCAGGGACAATGTGTTGGCTGTGTCAGAAAACGACCTCAAGCTAACAAAGTCAATAAAAAATGGAATTCTAACAAAGCTGGAGGCCAAGTATGAATCTGATTCAGTGCGCAAATTAATGAGAAAATGCACTTTCCTCGACCCTCGTTACCGTGGAGGATATGAGACTGATGACAACGCATTGGCTGAGACCAAGGCTGAATTACAGGCTGAGATCGTGAGCTTAGAGGGGCAAGCACCAGCAGGTCCAGTGGCCATCAGAATGGAAGAGGGAGAGGCGCAACCCGAACCCCCACGAAAAAAGATGACTCTGGGAAGTATCCTGCAAAAACAAGCCGATGAAGTGGCAGGTCCCGTCGGCACTGTAGAGGACCGAGCCAGAGCTGAAATAACGGCCTACTGCTTGGAGCCCGTCACTTCCTATTCGCACTGTGTGTGTGTGTGTGTGTATGTGTGTGTGTGTGTGTATTTTTATTATTTAATTGGTTCAGGTATTTTTATTTGGTTTTCGTTAAAAACAATTCAATGCAATTCAGTTCAATTAAATTTTATTTGTATAGCGCCAATTCATAACAGAAGTTATCTCAGGACACTTTTCAAATAGAGCAGGTCTAGACCGAACTCTTTATAACATTATTTACAGAGACCCAACAGTACCACCATGAGCAAGCACTTGGCGAGAAGGGCAAGGAAAAACTGCCTGTTAAAAGGCAGAAACCGAGGACAGATCCTTCGGCTCTAGGTGGGTGGTCGTCTGTCTCAACCAGTTGGGGTAAGAGAGAGAGAGAGAGAGAGAGAGAGAGAGAGAGAGAGAGAGAGAGAGAGAGAGAGAGAGACACAGACAGACAGACAGACAGACAGACAGACAGACAGACAGACAGACAGCAACAACTACATGGGGGACAATGAGCAGTGACAACAGCAACAACAGTAACCGTAGCAATAATAATACTCATAATAATAACACTAATATAATATAATATAGTGATATTAGCAATGGCAGTCAAGCAGGATCATGGCAGGAGGCTCCACCAGGATCCATGAGAACCTGCGAGACGAAAAAGCACAAGAACTCCGGGGAAGAAGTGAAGTTAGTAACATGCATTAGTGGGACATGAATGAGTGCAGAAAGAGAGAGGAAGACAGGAGCTCAGTGCACCATGGGAAATCCCCCAGTAGTCTAGGCCTATAGCAGCATGACTAAGGGATGGTTCAGGACTCACCTGAGCCAACCCTAACTATAAGCTTTATCAAAGAGGAATGTCTTAAGCCTACTCTTGAATGTGGTGAGGGTGTCTGCCTCCTGAACCACAACTGGAAGCTGGTTCCACAGGAGAGGAGCTTGGTAACTGAAGGCTCTGGCTCCTGTTCTACTTTTAGAGACTATAGGAACCACAAGTAGCCCTGCATTCAGAGAACATAGTGTTCTAGTGGGGTAATAGGGTACTATGAGCTCTTTAAGATATGAAGGGGTCCCACCATGAAGAGCTTTGTAGGTGAGGAGGAGGATTTTAAATTCTATTCTAAATTTTACAGGGAGCCAGTGCAGAGAAGCTAGTACAGGAGAGATGTGATCTCTTTTTCTAGTTCCTGTCAGTACTCGTGCTGCAGCGTTCTGAATTAATTGGAGCGTTTTAATGGACTTATTGGGGCAACCTGATAATAAAGAGTTGCAGTAA